GGTTAGACGTAATGTATCATGTACCAGTTTGCGTCAGTAAAAACGCGCGACCTGCGAAATATAATTGGACAAATCTTTTGTCAGTGCATAGAAAATGTTCCGAAATATACAGGATGTGTCTGAATGAATGTGCAACGAGATTGCAGTGCATAGAAATTGTTCAGAAATAAACAGGATCTCTCAGGATGATCAAACTCTAGGTGAGTATTCTACAAAAAAAAATTATTCAAAACATTATTGTTAGCATTTAATTTGTGGTATATTTGTTGAACCTATCAGAGTTTATCCAATGATCCCAGTGTATCATTCTCTTTGTTGGAAACAAATGAAAATTGGAACATTTATAGTTTCTAAAATGATTTCCATGAGTCGAATACACTCCTATAGAATTTGGTATATTCTTCCTGAATCACCCTGTATGTCAGAATTTGAAATAAGCACAGAGACTATATTTTGGAAATAACTCACCGATAATTCCAAGCTATTTCATGCCACAGTTCCTTTTAAATGACGTCAAAAATTACCAGTGGGGTAGTAACAAACCCATTCGAGTGTATTGTTGTGGGTATATAATATTGTATGAAAGAAATCATCATATAACTATAACTATTTTTATTCAAACCTGAAACAAACGAAATAAATCAGAGGAATGCAAATCGATTAAGGCATGAGAAATTACCTTATAACAACAACAACAACAAAAAAAATTATTCGTCTTCCGTAAACTGAAACAAAATTCGAATTAAAAATTAAAACAATCGAGAACAAATTATTTTGTTTACCGATATTGCCCACACCAGAAGGGCATCCTGCTCCTCCATGTAAAAAATGGCATACTGCCCCACATTTCCTATTTTAATCAATCCTGGGGGGGCACTTGATCCCCCCAAGATCTTCCCTTGAAGTAAGAGGATCGGTTTGTTCTAAAAAAGACACAGAATTCACTTGATAATGCTGAATTGTTTGGTACCGAAATAATTTGATGAATTCTGATGAAATTCATTTTGTATTTCACGAAAACAATTATCATTGTAGGGAATGCGGACAAAATATCAATCAAAAAACTATTAAGCAAATAGAATAATTTTTTACATGGAACCGTACTATGAGGTTGAATATTGTTTTGATTATTTATTGATAATTATTGATCCTCACAAAAATTTACAATTTCTCCCGTAATACAGCCTGCTTTTTGAAATTCATTAAGATAACCGATATCCCTATGCTTTGTCTCCAAAACACGGATATCAAAAAAGATTCCTGGTTCCTGAGAGAAATCAATATGAAATGGAAATAAATGAATAAAATATACTCACTCTTAAATGACCAGGTAGCATATTCTTAATTGCTTCTATTGGTATCTCTTCTGGGAAAATTTGAACATTGTTCATTTTTTTTATCAGGTACAGGAATATTTTCAACTTACCCATGTTATAGCTGCACTAAAAATAATAATAATGATAATTTTACTAGATGATATTCAAAATGAAATGTATAATATAACATGGAAATTCGTTTATATATGAACCCTATTTTGATTATCTTTTCGTACACATTTTTTTTAAGGATAATAACTAATCAGCAATACTTACTGACCCAAATCATTATATCGCTAATTTGTTTTTCCAGAAATTTCTTATCAGTCTTATTAGGTCTATTTCTCTGTTTGTGCAATAAGTGCACATTTTTATAGATTGCAGTAATATCGGAGTTAATGGCGCATCATCATAATGCTAATTTGCGCGACCAGAATCGCCGTGTACAGGGCGATCCGGAATCACAGGGTGATCCTTCGACACCGTTAAGACCTTCTCGCAATTCATTAAAAAACAGACAATATTCACATTACGAAATCACATAGAACTTCATCTATTGAAAAAGTAGAATTCCAACTCACATAGGGTTTTACCTATTGGGAACTCTAGATCATGAGTTGAAGTAACGCCCTATGTGATCTGTCACTCTCTTCAGGTTACCAACTCACATACGGGTTTACATGTTAGCGTTTTGGGAAAAAGTAGAATTCCAACTCACATAGGGTTTTCAGTTCTTCGATTTCTAAATCAAGTACAAGTACTGAAACGCCTATGTGATTTAGTTCTCTCTTTAGGTTACGAACTCACATAGGGGTTTACATGTTAGCATTTTGTGAAAAAGTAGAATTCCAACTCACATAGGGTTTTACCTATTGGGAACTCTAGATCATGATCTAGAAGTCCCAATAGGTAAAGCCCTATGTGAGCTGTGGCTCTCTTTGTCTTACTACTACTTACTACAAAATCTCAAATGCAGAGTATCAAGTCATGCCTCATTTTGAAGGTCTTTATAACCTGTACACGTCAGTGCTTTGATTTTCAAAATTGATCGATCCGTTATCAAGATATTTAGGAAAATCAGTTTTCCGCTGCGTATACCAACTGCAAAATTTCAAATGCGGAGGGGTATCGAGTTATACCTCATTTTGAATCCCTCTCAAATCTCTACACGTCGATACTTCTTTTCTGCAATTGTTCGATCCGTTGTCGAGATATTTAGGCATTCTGTTTGCTGCTGCGTACCATTGAAATAAAAACACTTCAACTGTTTTTTTCTTCTAGGTATATACTTCTAATGTGCCTTGAGAGGTATACAAATAAGTGTACTTGTCAAAGAAAATGAAAGACATATCGATTTTTTTACTATAATTATCAGTTGTGTGATAGTTGTGATTTGATGCTCGACGAACTGCCGCAATATTTAACGAGAGGCACCCAGATAGGAACACCTCTCATCGGTATGTCCTGAATCTGATCGCCAAATTCACTCAGACAGGACCTGTTGCAAATTCAAAACATGATCAGCCAAGAGTTCTGACTGAAGCCACTCAAATTGAAGCATTAGGTTATTTTGGTATGAGTCCTAATACTTCGTTACGTACCATTTCTACGTCAACTGGAGTTTTCTTAGGCTCTGTCCACAAAATCACAAAAATCAATAAATTTCATCCATATAAAATGAAAATCTATCAAGAGTTGAGTGAAAACGACTTTGACAGACGAATTGAGTTTTGTGAGATGATGACAGCAATTATTAACAACAATATCGCATTTTTGAAAAGTATCTGCTTCTCTGATGAGTGTTTTTTTTATCTGAATGGATTTGTCAATAAACATAATTGCAGATATTGAAACAATGAAAATGACCATGTGTTTGTCGAAGGGCATACCCAATATCCCCAAAGACCAAATGTTTGGGCTGGTATACTAGGAAACCAAGTAATTGGTCCTTTGTTCATCAATGGAAATCTGAATGGTGAGGTGTACTTGGATATGCTAGAAAATACGAACAATCCACTTATCACTGGAGCACTTGAAAATCAACTAGATAGAGATGGAAACACCTTCCTTGAAGAAAACCCATTACATTTTCAACAAGATAGATTTCCCCCGCATTATGTGCTTCCGGTCCGTCAATGGTTACACATGATATATATTTCCCGGTAGATGGATACTTGGATAGGGCGAAGAGGACCTATATAGTGGCCAGCCAGGTCCCTGGATTCAGCACCATGTGATCTCTTTTTATGGGGACATTTGGAATCAGCTGTTTACACACGCCCGCTGCAAAATTTACAAGAGCTTCGACAAAGAATCACTGCAGAATGGCAAGCACTTCGACCAGAAATGTTTGAAAATGTGTGCCACGGATTTGAACAGAGGTTATACCATTGCTTGGGCAATAATGGACAACATTTTGAGCAATTGCTGAAGTGACAGTAGTGTAAAATATTGATATTTAGGTTTGAAGTAAAAGGAATGAGAATAAACAGTTAAACATTTTGTATTTCAATGGTATACGCATCAGAAAACTGATTTTCCTAAATAGCTCGACAACGGATTGATCAATTTTTGAAAACGGAATACTGACGTGTAGAGATTACAGAGACCTTCAAAATGAGGTATGACTCGATACCTCTTCGCATTTGAGATTTTGCAGTTGGTAGCTCCCCCTTGCAGGGGATGAAAGGGGGCGCGTTTATTTCCTGATGGAAACTTTTCCCCTTTGATACATTTGTTGACGTGTCTTGGGATTTTTTGAAAACATACAAACATTTCAAAAAAATTAGGCTGGGAAGTCCTGAAATGAACAATCTGTATATAAATCAATATATGAGTAGGTGCTGAATAACCCCGAGTAGATTCGTCGAATGTCATTTCTGTGACAGGCTGACAGTTGTAATATTCGTAGAGAGTGCAGTTCTATGCGATGAACCACGCAGCCACAGACAATTCACAAGTAGTAATTCAGCTGAACGATTATAACAAAAATCATTCTATCCCAGAGTAGCTGCCTGATAGCGACATCAGTATACCTTCCTGTGGCAGCGAATTCACTTTCAAAGTCGTCATTGCTATCATGAGGTCTCAAGTTTTTGCTATCATCCAAAAATGTGTACCAGTCATGAGATTTTTCGTGATAGTGAGAAATATCCAAACAATAACTCTGATATCATAATTTTGCTCACTGTACCCACTATCATAGTATTCATCAGTCAGATTCACGCCTCTCAGGCCTGTGTCGTTAAGTGCGGAATCTCCTTTCCATTTGTTCCAGTTGTAGAAATAAGCCACTCAATTTTCTGTGATCATGAAGTCGATTTTGCTAATCATTAGAAATCGAACCTTGCTGCCACTAGCGAGTGAATCTGCATATGGTTATTAGACAATATGCTTCTGTACTAGGTATCTGACTTTGCTACCGCTAGCGAGTGTACCCAAAAATGGAATTAGGGAAATGTTATAACCGTGAATGGAGATTAGATGAGATGGAGGGTAATCATATGATAGTTGCGTGACATTCTTGCTATAGATTTAGTTAGTATCCAGGACCGCGTTGTATAGAGAAGTCATTGCTATCATGGGATTCGAATGTTTTACTACGATTCGGAAATGTAACGGTAATAGGTTTTTTTGTAATGGTAGCAAAAACTCTCATATCACAATTTTCCTCATTGTACCCACCATCATAGTATCCACCAGTCAAACTCTCGCCTTTCAGGCCTGTGTCGTTGAGTGCAGAATCTCCTCTCCATTTGATTCTGTTGTTGCTGGGGAGTTTCCCGGACCTTTGAGCTTCGTAGTAGAGCAAAGAGAGTTTCAGCGCCTCTTTGTAGTCGGGAGTGAAATGAAGTGGTGAGCTGGAAGATTCTTTCAGCAGTGCTACGGTGATCAGTAGTACTAGGAGATGAGTCGTTTTTTCCATCTGTAAAAACAATTCTATGAGTCCCAAAAGCGAAGATGAAAACGCCAAGAGAGTTGGTCACACAATGATACAATGTGGAAACCTATGATGGAATATCATCCATAACGAGAACATGTTTCAAGAAATCATAGGACAAGTCGATTTCAATTTTTGAGGAACTATTATTTCAAATACAAATTTTCAACCACTTGTCAACCTTCCTCCTCACGAATGAACCCCTCAAAAGTTTTTAAATCATACAAGTGATCAATTTACACCTTGTTTGTACCTACCATTGAAGTGAATGTAGTGAATCTAATATTAACTGAGATTGCTAATGGGTAAATTATGACCCAGTCAACCTGGGATGTGACAGTAAGTCGCAGGCACAACCTATTAATATCACATCGAAGATCGTCTTGGAGACCAATCATAGATGTGCTAAGGATCTAGATTTGTGAATATCAGCATCCCCAAATTGTTAGCCTTGCGAGTTTCCCAACTCAAATTCCTTCGAAGGTTGATTGCATATTATATCAAGAAGTTTATATGAAGTGTACATTGTTATTACTATGTCACTTATCTCTAATCATATGTTTCAAATATCGAATTTGTGATATTATCAGAAATTGGAATTACGTACCTCGGATATACTTCCATGAACTATATCGAAGCAACTTTCCGAAGAAGACCTCTCATTAACTTTCTGAGATATCCTATTTGATGACACGTCGTCAACTACCTGTCGATTAACTTTTCGCCTGCATTAATCTTCACTGCATGTATACCTATTATTATTTATTGATATATATAGGTCATTCAATGGGTATAAATATACACCTGGATATAATGATGAACTTGATCATGATGTTATTCATATGAATATTATTGTTATCAATAACCTAGAAATATCCATGTATAAGCAATGAACAATGTCCATGTAATATTGTCGCAACTCAGATGGTTTTGGTAGATTATTTGGCAAACGGCGTGTCCACCACATGTCGCAACTCAGATGTTGCCCTCCTATGGATCGTAACTTGGCTACTCGCTTGGCTTGATAAGAGGATTTTGATTATTTAACCACCCAACCATATTCATCCCCAAATGAAGAGTCAAGATTAGTAGAGTAAATAGACTGGCAAAAGGCTTCTAGAATAGATTTTCGTGGGCACTTTGTTGCTAAAATGTAAAACCCTTTTTTTATCATTCCTAAGACCTTTGCAATGCAAAATCACTTGGTCGTCCAAAAATTGTAGTAGGAGGGGAGTGGGGGGAGCCTTTTAAAAAAAAAGAGCCAATTTTTTTTTTCATCGGTTTTTAGATCTAAGATTTGAGATAATTCATTCCTCAAATTTGTATACCCATCCGGATATCAGAAATATTTTTTTTCAATTTATAAGAATACGTCGCAGCATTGTTGTATATGGAGCGCCTTCACACAAAACCGCTTGCCCTGCACACCCATATTTTTAAAATCATTTAACTCGCTCTACCTCGAAAAGTATTGGGTCTAGCAAAAAAAGGTTATCTATAAACGTTAAAGACCAAACATCATGTTGGGCTCTTTAGAATTTTGATTGGATAATTGGTTCACGAGAAAATTAAATAAATCGAACGGCATGTCGCGATGAACAGCGGCGACCGCAGAGACACGAGGATGGGCGAGATTGCTATGCCTAAGTCAACCGAAAATCCACTCTACTGATGGCGATGTTGGTACGGTCGATTATACCGTGACTTCACTGTTTTCTTGTAAATTCGAATGCATTGTTCTGGTAGCGCGGATTCCACTGAGATTACTAGTGATGAGTGATAAAGTTCTTGTCTATAAATCATATTATTAAAAGCGAATAATAACTTATTGGTAATTTGACAATATTTAGAACTTACTTAGTGAGTATTAGGTACAGTTACTATTTTTTTGTATCCTCTAGAAATGGATTTAAAACAGCAGCAGCTCTGACAGTGAAATTGAGTCGAAAATCAAATTAAGACGTGCTTCTTTTCGTAAAACTTACAATGGACAAGACGTTTTTATTCAAAATGTGTGTCTCACTTGTTTGAAAGGAGGAAAGCTGGTTATCTCTCATGAAAAATCAAAAAAAACTTTCATTGAATGCACGAAAGAACGTATGACAAATTGTCATGATGACAAATATATGCGGCATATATTCTCAAAGTTTGATGATCTAGAAAATCGAAGTTTTTTAAAATGCTTTTAAAGAGCTCAAAGAACATTGTCTCGTACAAGTCAAAAAATAAGAAACTGACAGCTGATTTTCCAGCAGATTTTTGTAGAGCAGATATTTCTCAAAAACGTCCCTTGCGGACACCTTTTTGATTCAAAAAAGTGCGTATTTTGTCAGAAGCGATCACAGTATCGAAAACTAAGCCAAGTTATGACTCATAATATGCAAGAAAAAATAAGAATAATATCACGAAGTAACCCTGTGTTTTTTGCGAGAACTGGAGACAATGACTTAATTGCCTCGGAAATAAAATATCATGCCACTTGCGTTTCAACAGAATTACGCAATCTCAATGAAAAATCGGTTGGAAATACTAATATTGAGAAAACAGACGATAAATCATTAGAGAAACTTTTTGAGGAAATGAAGAAGGGTTTGAAAAAAGGTAAAGGATACTGCACAAAATCAATTGGCAAAAGATATCGTGAAATTAGTGGCATTGACGACATGAGTGAGAAACAAATAGTAAAAAAATTAAATACCATTTTGAGGATGATGTTGAGTCAACAAGGTCTCCTAGGCGAAATGAGCCCACAATATTCTTGAAGAAGTTTTCGGAAGAACAGGCAATTGAGACAATCGTGCAAAACCACGACGAATCTGTCGGTCCTAGTTTCAGTTTTGGTGCATCGGAGCAACACATTCTAGTAAAAATCTGCCAAACTATCCGAGGTGAGATGGAGAAGATGTCGACTGAGTCCGATTTTTAAAAAATTAATGTTATATAGAGACTACAAACAGTATATTCCTGAAAGCTTGTACTACCTTGTTAACCTTATTGTCCGCAATGAAAGTGAGAATGAAAAAGAAACTGAAACTTTTGCACGATTGGCTCAATTGCCTGTTCTTTTGAAAACTTCTTCAAGAATATTGTGGCTCGTCTTGTCTAGGAGACCCTATTGACTCAACATCATCCCCAAAATGGTATTTAATTTTTTTCACTATTTGTTTCTCACTCTTGTCGTCAATGTCACTAATTTCACGATATCTTTTGCCAATTGATTTTGTGCTGTATCCTTTACCTTTTTTCAAACCCTTCTTCATTTATTGAAAAGGAATATTCTCAGATATATTATAAACATGAAAAAATGGATACATTTGAATAAATACATTGAGAATTCGCATTCTCTATGTGATGAAATTATTAATTCTTTCTCGGCATATTCAACAGAAAACAACTACTTTCCTGGCTATATGCCACGACGAACATTGAATTATATCAATTGAACATACACGATAGGAATTTGAGCATAAAATGAATATCGTCTGAAATTGAGAATTGACATTCTCTTCCAGAATCGGATGAATACTATGATGAATATAACGATATAATATATCTGAGAATATTCCTTTTCAATACTTTCATACCCAATCAAGGGGTTCAAACTTGAACGATGGAAACTTGTTATTTTTATAGACCTTCAATCGCAGATTCGTGATTGGGTTTTTCTCAATTCAGAATTTCTTTCCACGCCCTGTATGATAAATGTCAGTTTGTCATACATCTAAAACCTTCTTCATTTCCTCAAAAAGTTTCTCTGTTTTTTCAATATTAGTATTTCCAACCGATTTTTCATTGAGATTGCGTAATTCTGTTGAAACGCAAGCGGCATGATATTTTATTTCCGAGGCAATTGAGTCGTTGTCTCCAGTTCTCGCAAAAAACACAGGGTCACTTCGTGATATTGTTCTTATTTTTTCTTGCATATTATGAGTCATAACTTGGCTTAGTTTTTGATACTGTGATCGCTTCTGACAAAATACGCACTTTTTTGAATCAAAAAGGTGTCCGCAAGGGACGTTTTTGAGAAATATCTGCTCTACAAAAATCTGCTGGAAAATCAGCTGTCAGTTTGTTATTTTCTGACTTGTACGAGACAATGTTCTTTGAGCTCGTTTACGATTTATAACAGTTTCTGTGCCATTTCAAAAAACTTCGATTTTCTAGATCATCAAACTTTGAGAATATATGCCGCATATATTTGTCATCATGACAATTTGTCATACGTTCTTTCGTGCATTCAATGAAAAGTTTTTTTTGATTTTTCATGAGAGATAACCAGCTTTCCTCCTTTCAAACAAGTAAGACACACATTTTGAATAAAAACGTCTTGTCCATTGCAAGTTTTACGAAAAGAAGCACGTCTTAATTTGATTTTCGACTCGATTTCACTTTCAGAGCTGCTGCTGTTTTAAATCCATATCTAGAGGATACAAAAAAATAGTAACTGTACCTAATACTCACTAAGTAAGTTCTAAATATTGTCAACTTACCAATAAGTTATTATTCGCTTTTAATAATATGATTTATAGACAAGAACTTTATCACTCATCACTAGTAATCTCAGTGGAATCCGCGCTACCAGAACGCATTCGAATTCACAAGAAAACAGTGAAGTCACGGTAAAATCGACCGTACCAACATCGCCATCAGTAGAGTGGATTTTCGGTTGACTTAGGCATAGCAATCTCGCCCTTCCTCGTGTCTCTGCGGTCGCTGCTGTTCATCGCGACATGCCGTTCGATTTATTTAATTTTCTCGTGAACCAATTATCCAATCAAAATTCTAAAAAGCCCAACATGTTCTCTGATGTTTGGTCTTTAACGTTTATTGATAACCTTTTTTTGCTAGACCCAATACTTTTCGAGGTAGAGCGAGTTAAATGATTTTAAAAATATGGGTGTGCAGGGCAAGCGATTTTGTGTGAAGGCGCTCCATATACAACAATGCTGCGACGCATTTTTATAAATTGAAAAAAAATATTTCTG